GGAGGGAGAGAGAGAGGAAGGGAGGAAGGAAAGAAGGAAGGAGAAGGGAGGGAAAGAAAATATGGAACTGTAAAATCACTTATTAATAAGAAACTACTAGTGATCTTTACTTTTGATTGCCCGTGTCACCAGTAAAAATGCCAAAACACAGCCCCAATATGTGTATATTTATTATAAAATATGTGCATTATAACATTTTCATAAAGATAGGTGTTTTAAAGGTTGAGAGTAGTAAAATAAAGTTCTAATATTTTCTTCCTGCATGCCAGTGGATTGTCTTAAAACTGCTCTTTTAATAAAAAATATTCAATCTGAAGATTCAAACAGTTTTTGGAATTCACATTCCTTTTAATTACACAGAACTGTCTATTTATCAAGCCAGGTGTGGTGGAGCACACCTGTAGTCTCAGCTACTCCAGAGGCTGAGGTAGGAGGATTACTTGAGCCCAGGAGTTCAGCGTTGTAGTGTGCAGTGATCACACTGTAAATAGCCACTGTACTCCAGCCTGGGCAATATAGTGAGGCTCCATGTCTTTAAAACACAAACAGAAAAATGTCCTTTTATCAGATTTATGTAAGCTCTGGTGACTGGAGACCTCTGCATGGAGAGTTTACTTTCCTATATGGTTCTACTTCCTGTTTTCTTGTTTTAGAAAATACAAAGGATTTGTCCCTTTTCATGATGTATTATTTATAGGTTATTAATTTCTGTTGATATTCAAGTTAAACTAAAAGGATTAAAGTATTTAATTTTCAAACATTTTTCTCATTCTAAGGCTGCTTTTGTTTTTAAGGTCATGGGCCATTTTCTCATATGTTTGATGGAAGATTTATTCCACTTGCTCGCCCAGAGTTGAAATGGACGGTATGTATTCAATATGTTCAATAGTCAATAAGAATATTGAAGTAGGTTATTTAGTTCAAGTATCTATTTCCACTTCTGTGTTACAGTATACTTCCCCATTACAGTTCTTAAGGTGCTTTCATTCATATATATTAATATATGTTTTCATTTGATCCTCACAGTAGTGTGTGAGGAAGTTATCATTAGGCCCCTTTTTACAAGTAAAGGAACTTGAAACTCTTGGGAGTGTATTGATGCACCAAACATCACAAAGCTGTTAAATGCTGAAACCAGCACTAGAAAACCAGTTGCCAGTTTAATGCTCTTTCTACTCCATTGCCCAACTGTAAAATGAAAAAATAAAAGGCCAACTTTGGTTTTGACTCACTTGGTATGACCATGAAGTAATTGTTGCCAGCTGAGTTTTGTCTTATATATTAAATGAACCATTTTATAATTAGGCATTTGCAGGTGACTGACCCATATTTTTTGAATCAATTTTTGAGAAGTAAAGTTAGGTTGGCCCTCCAGCTTTTACCATGTTGTATTCTGGAACTGGAGTAGAAAAGGATATTAATATTAGTATTGAAAGCTTCTTACATGTCAACCACTATTTTCTTTCTTTCTTTCTGTCTGTCTTTTCTTTGGAGGTGTAATTCACATACAATAAATTGTACAGATCTTAAGTGTATAGTTCAGTGAGTTTTGACAAGCGTATACATCCATGTAACCATTACCCTAATCAGGACATAGGACATTTTCATCTTCCTGGAAAATTCCCTTGTGCCCTTTTTCATTCACTTCCCATTCCTCTGCCCACCATCACCTTCTGAATTTTATAAACATGGATTAGTTGTGTCTGTTCTTAGACTGCATATAAGTGGAATATACTGTGGGTACTGTTTTATGTCTTGCTTTATTTACTCAACATAGTGGTTTTGAGATTTGTTCAGGTTGCATGAATTAGAGTTGATTCCTTTTTATTGCTGAGGTAGTATTCCATTGGGTGAATAAGTCACAATTTGTTTATCTTTTCTTCTTTTGATGGAATTTGGGTTGTTTTTAGTTTTGGCTGTTATAAATAAGGTTGCTGTGCACATTATTGTACAAAATTTTTGTGGAAATATGTCCTTTCTCTTAGGTGAATACCTATGAGTAGAATTGCTGGGTAATGGTAGATGCATTTTAACTCTATAAAAAAACTACCACATTTTTCCAGTGTGGTTGTATCATTTTACACTGCCACCAGCAGCATAGGAGAGTTCCAGTTGTTTTGCAGCCTCACCAACATTTAGTCTTTTAGAATAACCCTTCTAATTAGTGTCAAATGGTATTTTGTGGTTTAATTTGCATGTTCTAACGTACGTTGAATATCATTTCCTGTGCTTTGTTATTGATACAGCTTCTTTTGTGAAGAACTCTTTCATCATTTTGCACATTTAAAAAATTTGATTGCTTCCTCTTCTATTACTGATTTATAGGGATTCTTTATAGATATTGTTAGATATATGTATTGTGAATATTTTCCCCCAGTGTCTGGCTTGCCAATTCATTTGTTAATGATAACTTTTGAGAAACCGAAGTTTTAACTTTTGATGAACT